AGAGCAGCCCGCTGGTTCCTCCATGAAACTAGTGACTTAAATCACCGCCTAATGTCTTTGGAACTGTTTTAAAAGGGCTGCTCCACAGCATCCTCATTTCTCTGTGTCACTTCTCATGGCCGCCATCTGGTCTTTAAAATCTTTCCTTTTCCTCTGCTTGGTTTGTGCTCCTCCCCCAGCTCCTTTGAAGTGACTGGCATGCTCTGTGGGTCTAAGTGCAAACCTATTTTTACCATGATGTTTGGGAATCTCTGGGCACAAACTCTCTGCAGATTAGGTAAGTTACAGGTGCACAGGTTCTTGTTACTCATCTAGCTACCACCAGTTTAAAGCATTAATCTGACTCTTCTGAATTTTCCCTTTCAGGCCGCGGGGCTTCCTTCACCTTCTATTGAGACACTCACTGGCCTTCCTAGTTGATCCTTTCTCTATCTGCAGGGTGGACTAGGTTCTTCTCATTTTCTTTTTCTCCTCTCCCGAGCCCCCTCTTTATTCTACCCTTTTCTCTCTTCTCTCTCTTTTCAATACTGGAATGTTCTATGGGTCTAAGTCAGACCTATTTTTACCACAGTGTTTGGTAATCTCTGGGTACAAACTGTCTGCAGATTAGGTAAATTGCAGTATCATCATTTTTCCTGTCTATCCCCCAGTCCTACTTTCTTAGCTATAACTGAAACTGCTTTCTTTGAACACAACTATGCAACAATATGGTCATATCCCTTAGACCTAACCCACAAAAATATCTTCGCCAGTTTATATAACAAGCCCTCACCCATGTCCATTTCTTCCATGAGCTTCCTCTTTCTGCCACCTTCTCAATCCCCAGGTTTGCTATGAAGCTTCAACTTTGCTCCCTAGAAATATCAACCCAACATCTCAGTAACTTCTATCTCCAATCATCCTTTCTCAAGCTTCCCATTCATGACAAACTCTTCATTGTTATACACTCGTGTAGAACCATATTCCTTTCCATTCCCAGCTCAGTTATTTCTTTGTGCGATTTTTAAATTAATGGCTGCCCTCCAGTAAACTGGAAATATGTTGAGGGCAAAAATACGTGAAACACTATGATTTAAGTCACTAGTTTCAATATTTTCACTTCCATTATAACATTAACAAATAAATCCTTACCTTTATTTTAAACAGCAGTGTTACCAAATCTAGGTTTTTCAATTAATTCACTATGGCTATTTCAATAAGAGGCCTTATGAATTGAGTAGGAGAAGAATGGAAATTCACATTTGTTGAGTTATTTCATATCATGGACTCAGCATACATCATTGCACAACAATACATTATATAAAACACAACAAGCCTATGATGTATGTATTATATATGCCATTTGATCTCATAAAAATGAGGCTTCGAACATATAACGGCTAGGACTGCAATTCTGTCTTACTCCAGAGCTCTGTTTTTCCACCACATACACCACTATCCCCAAGGCTCAGAGCTAAAATCCACCAGAGTGAGAACCATAAGCCTTTCCCTCCCACTCCTTCTCAAGCAGAGAACTGTACATACTCAATCTTTTATGAAGATGATAGAAAGAAAATGCATTTACAGATACCTAAGTGTAAAGTAAGAACAATGGGGTGGCAAACTATTTGAAAACTCAATCACTAACCTTGTTTTAGATCTGTTAAGTAATTTATTAAAACTTAATATTATTGTTCTCTTATTATTATCTACTTTTTTCCCTAATTTTTAAACATGTAATTTGAATTATTTAAAGCCTAGGGGATTTCAGTTTTCATAAACCTGTTTTGACCACTTGTCAAGGTTTGTGGCTTCCAAGTTCTTCTGAAAAATAATGTAATTGCAATTATAGACATCTCAGATTTTGCAAACAATTGGAGTTCCAAGAGTTCACTAGTTCACTTGGAATCATTGCATATTTTCCCATTACCTAATCTAATAAAGGATGGTTATTTCCCAAGCTGGCATTTCCTTTTTCTCTCCTCCCACTCCCACCCCAAAACAACAACAGAGAGAAGTACAGACCAAAATGAACAACAACACTGATTTTTCTGACTTAAGTTCTACAAAATGTTGGAAAGGAGCTTTGTAATTTGATAAGAAATGATCATTTGATAGTGAAGGTTGAAATGCCTGAGAGGTTATTCTTGATCAGCACCTCAAAGATTTTTCTACCTTTTTCTAGAATCTTCTCTTTCTATATTTTGAACTCACTGTTTCTCAAGTGGAAACATTTGAATGAGGGAAAAATAAAGGAGAAAGAGCATACTTTCCTATTCTTTAGCAGCTCATGATGTACAGACTCTCACATCTCTCCAATACCTTTTAAAATCAGTGGTGAGTCTAAGAATTATACCACCTTAAATGTTATATCTATTATCCAAGCAACAAAATTCCTTAGAAGCAACATTTTTCCTATCTCAGTTTTTCTCTATATCTAAGAAAGCTAAGAAAGTAATAAAAAGAAGTACTTTCATAGAGTATGCAACATTTTTAAGTGATTTTGCATTTTTTTAAATGTCATATTTATTCCGGTCTTTGAGAGTATGATATCTTTTGTCATTGTATCGATTTTATAGATTAAGAAATTGGGAATTTGAGGTGTTAGAATTGACTAAACCCTCATAGGCCCCAAATGATTAAAATCTAGGCCAGCCGTACCCCAGTTCTAGGGCCGTTTCTCCTCCACACACTTTTTTTTTATATATCGTTGTCAATTTCACCCGCCCTTCTACATCCAGAATCCACAAGTGATCATTTTCACCTCTTTATCCGTAGTATCCAGGACACTGTCTGGCACTTTGTAGGTACCCAAAAAATGTTGAATAAATGAATTTCAGTTATTATTATCTTAGTAATCTTTGCAACTATGCTATGTAATTGTATTGGTTAAACGCGCCTTTTTAAGTTATCTTTACATTATGAAATGCAGCATAAGAGTGTGGTTAAGAGCACAGGGTAACTTTCCATAATGGATGTTTGTCCTGTGTTGTTGGAGCCTCCAATCTGCAGTCTTATCTGCTGACATTACCACAACCAGGGCGCCGGCGGAAATAGGAGAAACTATCACAAAATACGTATCTTTTTATTATTAGTCTTACCTATGCTCCCTGCTTTTCCAAAAAAGAATTGATTCATTCTCAAATTTGATAAGGAATTATTCAGCTGCACAACAACAAATACATAAAAACAGCCCCAAATGTCAACCTAACACCTGTGGCTCAATATAAAGAGACTGAAGAATTATTTTTTGAATAAGCCATTTGGCTGGAAAATGTAGCTAGTTCCTACATTGTCTGACCATTGATTCATGGCATTGTCTTCACTCTATTCGTTTAAAAAAGTGAAGTCATATTGAACATAGCCTATAATTATCACTGCTTGGTTCCCATCCAGTTTTTCAGGCACTAACTATACAGGCCCAAACCAAAGATGATTCTCATTTCAAAGGCCACTTACAGGTGGAGTGGGTCCTTCCAGAGCTCTAAGGGGAAAAAAGGAAAGAAAAGAAAAGAAAAGAAAAGAAAAGAAAAGAAAAGAAAAGAAAAGAAAAGAAAAAAGAAAAGAAAAGAAAAGAAAAGAAAAGAAAAGAAAAGAAAGGAAAGGAAAGGAAAGGAGAGGAAAAAAGAGAAAAGAAAAAAGAAAGGAAAGGAACAAAAATAAAAGAAAAAAGAGGAAGGAAAGAATACAATAACAAATGAGAAAAAAAATAACAAAAGAACAGAAAAGCCTCTGCAATAGCTGCGCTTTATTTCCTTTCTGAGAAATGGTCTGAGCCCTGACATAGCCTTATGCACTAATGCTTATCTAGCAGTTAATATGGGCTATAGGCTTCACATGCCTATCATGGGATCAAATCCTCACCAAGATTCTGTTAAGCAACTGCTATTATCTTGAAGAAATTGAGATCTAATGCTTACCTATGCACACATAAATAGAAATGAACGAAGCTAGGACTTCAAGGGAGTCCTTCGGATCTAGGGCCTCTGCGCTTCATCCTTACATTGTACTGCCTTCCAACCACCCTACTTGCGTGCATTGGGCCATAGGGAAGCAGTAATTAAAGTTCTGTTGCCTTGCTTGTGCTTCAGTGGCTGCCTTTCTCATCTGAATCCTATGCAACAACTGATTTGGAGTCAATGGACAGTGAGCACACCAACGCAAAAGCTGTGTAGAACAGGAGCCATAACAGAGGCACCTTGGAGTGGGGGCCACAATGAGTCTTGAAACATCGTCTAGTTTTAGTGAAAGTCTTGTTTCCACTAAAAATGATCTTTAAACACGTTATTACATGTATTGCATTCACATCCTCTGTTCCACCCCTTACCTCATAGGTACTGCTGTGCCACCTAGGAAGGGTACAGAATTCAGATTTTGGTTGCCACCCCTCCAAAAAAAATAGATAGCAAAGGAAAGAATCTGAGCACCCTCCAACCACCCTCTCCAGCTCCCAAATTATCTAACTGCCTTATTAAAAGAGAGGAAAGAGATTTACCTGCTGCTACTGAGGCCGCAGCCTGAAAGTCATGTAAACCCTTTGAAGGACTGTAATGGTTTTAATCACAGGAATAGCATCTTTTTGACAGACAGGAGAGAAAAGAACTGAACCACTCTGCAAATACTAACCAGGCTATTTTGGAGCAACGGCTATTGCCTTTGAAATCTTTCATCATGGATCTATACTTAGAATTCAGATGAGCCTGGGGGAGGGGAATGGGGCAGTGTTAATCCCCAGTTGTTTTGAAGTTGTCCTGTAAGCAGGTTCGCATTTAAACTGCCCCAAATGGAAGCATTGGATTCTGTGTTTAAATTGTGGGGCTCTCTCCGTGAATTTTGTTTCAACCTGTCCTGCATGTAGATTGACACATCATTCTGGGGGTGACACTTCTCAGTTTTCTTTCAGACTAGATGTTCTAGAGAGCACTGGCTGTAACCACATTGGGAGACTGATGCTCCATGACAGCTAAAAGTTGGATTGAGTTTCAGGAGCTACTATATATAAAGCTGGGGTGACTTATGTCACCGCACTAATTAAATGCCATCTGGGTGGTTCCTCGGGGTTTTTGAGCCCATCACCCAGTTCAGACTGAGTCAGAGGCCAAGGAGGAGAACATGATGATGGACCTTTTTGAAACTGGCTCCTATTTCTTTTACTTGGACGGGGAAAATGTTACCCTGCAGCCCTTAGAAGTGGCAGAGGGCTCGCCTTTGTATCCAGGGAGCGATGGCACCCTATCCCCCTGCCAGGACCAAATGCCCCCGGAAGCTGGGAGCGACAGCAGCGGAGAGGAACACGTCCTGGCGCCCCCAGGCCTACAGCCTCCCCACTGTCCGGGCCAATGCCTCATCTGGGCTTGTAAGACCTGCAAGAGAAAATCTGCCCCCACCGACAGACGGAAAGCCGCCACCCTGCGCGAGAGGAGGCGGCTAAAGAAAATCAACGAGGCCTTCGAGGCTCTGAAGCGAAGGACTGTGGCCAACCCCAACCAGAGGCTGCCCAAGGTGGAGATTCTGCGGAGCGCCATCAGCTACATCGAGCGGCTGCAGGACCTGCTGCACCGCCTGGATCAGCAGGAGAAAATGCAGGAGCTGGGGGTGGACCCCTTTAACTACAGACCCAAACAAGAGAATGTAAGGCCACATGCTGCCCAGGCAGGGGAATACAGACAGAGTCTGATTAGCCGCTTTCCCTAGGGCTTTCCCATCCAGCTGCTGGGTCTCTTTTCCCGTCCCCCTTCCTCGCCCGCCCCTCCAGCTCCCTCTCTAATGAACCCCCAGTGACCCCTGGACACGGGGTGCCTGCAATAGGCAGGAAATGCGCACCCGGCCCCGGCCCGAGGAAGCAGGGGAGACATCCCCACAAAGGCACCCCCATCCCCGGAACCGATGTTTATTTTCTAATCTGCTGCCTTGGTTTTTCTCCAGCTCGAGGGTGCGGATTTCCTGCGCACCTGCAGCTCCCAGTGGCCAAGTGTTTCGGATCATTCCAGGGGGCTCGTGATCACTGCCAAGGAAGGTAAGTGAAAGCAGGGGCGCCGCGCTAGGGAACAGCCCGGGAGGGGGCTGGTTGCTCGCGCCGGGCAGGCCAGGCTCAGATCCACAGCAGGGACGCGCGCGCCCGGGGAGAAGTGCGCTCTTTTCGCGCGGGGACCCTGTGCCCCCGGGTTGCCTGAGAGGCCTGGAGCCGGGCGCGGGGCTGCCTCTTCTGCCTTCCTTGGCTGCTATGTTTGTGTGTTTTCTGTGCTCAGGAGGGGCAAGCATTGATTCCTCGGCCTCAAGCAGCCTTCGGTGCCTTTCTTCCATCGTGGACAGTATTTCCTCGGAGGAGCGTAAACTCCCCTGCGTGGAGGAGGTGGTGGAGAAGTAACTGGGAGCCGGCGTTGGGGATGGTCGCGGCAACAGGAAGATCCCACCCTCCCTCCTTCGACTAATCCTTCGGATTAGTTCACATTACATTCACGTTGAGGAACCCAGACCGCAGAAGTTTATGAAAGGGAAGGAGACACAAAGAAACTTCTCCGAAACTGTTGTGCACGCTCGGATGCCTTTGGGCTCTGGGCTTTAATCTTTTTGGAACAGCGAGTGGCGTAGGTCTAGCAGCCTTACTTTGCTACTGTTTGGTTGGTTTTATAATATATTTACTTTAATTACGGTGATTCTTTTGTGCCATGATCAAAAGAAGTTCATTCCTGTCTAACACAAAGTGGGAACGTTGCATTTAAATGTTAGGGGTATTGAATGTATATTTGTAAATAATCTTAGTTCTTTCATTTTATATGTAAACCTAAGAAATATATATTGTAAAGTAACAGACGTATTGTATATATAATGTGAGAGGATCCTGGTATTGTAATATTAAAAAAATGAGTTTCTGTATGAATAAAGTTGGTCCTATTTCGATTCAGCTGAACAAATATATAGAGAGCCATATTTTAATTTAGACATCACACCAGCCCATTTATCTGGGTGATTTCTTAAAGGCTGATTTAAAGGAAGGAAAACGGGTTGTTTTTCTATGTCTGAATTAAACTGTTTGCTTTTCTATACGTGAGGAATATCCAGGAGAAAAATGTCCTTTTTTTCTTGTATCAGCATACTTTCTCGTTCTGTTTCTGTACCTGGAGCTCTGGGTGAGACTTGCTTACCCAAAGTTGACTGAATTTTCAATCCAGTAAAATCTCATTGTTGCAAGAAATTGCCACACAAAAACTCTTCGCTTGTTTTTCAAAAAGATCTCCAGCTAATTTAGGCCGAATGACTTTCCCTCTTTGACTTTCTCCAGGCCCCCGCCCTTGCATAAAAAGCATTGACCTGGAGCCCCCAGGGGCTGCACTGCCCGGTCTCAGGGACCCTCCCCAGTTTTCTTGAACTAAACTGGTGGCTAGAAGACCAGACTATCCTCAAGGCCTTGTGTGGCCTGGGTTAGTGTTCCAACTAGAAAGAGAAAAGGAGACAATCTATTGAGGTGGCGTGAGGAAGGGTTGCTTCAAGAGAGGGAAGGGTTAAATGCTGAGGGCAAAGGACAACAACAACACACATGAAACCTCTTAGCTGGGCCAAATAGCCAAGCCCCAGAGAGGCTTGCCTCCCCAGGAGCTCCTCAGGGTGAGGATTTTACAACGTGTGCCAGGTTTGTTTATCCTGTAACCTCAGGCAGGAGCGACCACCAAGAATCGCAGTGGGAAGTAAAGCAGAGGAGAGGGGCGAGCCATTTCTATGGAATCACGACTTCTCTCTTGCATTCGGTAAATGGCACCTTCCGGTGGACTCCCTCTCCCCACTCCTCCCTTCCCTCTTTATCCTCACCGCTAGTCCGTCCTCAGTTGGAAAATGTGAAAATCAAATTGAATTCAGTATTTCCCAGACCAACCTTGCTTCCTAACACGCCCTTCGGGACCTTCCTGTTGCACAACACAGTTTCAGGACCCCCACAGGCAGCGCCCCCTTTAGGCCCGGAGCAGGAATTGCCCCTTTTCCATCTCAAAGGGCTGGCTGCTCTGAGGGTGATAGTCACTTTGTTTTCTGAGCCTCTAATTTCTCCTAGAATGCTTTTAAAATGCGGGAAGTTTCACAGCGAAAACTGACATTGACATGTAATCCCTCTCAAAGGTTTGAGAAGAGCAGGCGGGAGTGTTAGTGGATTTTGTAAAAGGCCTCTGTGGGTGCTGACAAGCTAGACTGAATCCAGGCTGCTACTGGGTAACCTTGGACTGTAATTGCTGCTCTCGTCGTCCATTTCTTCATTTATAAAATAATGGGGACAATAATAGCGCTCAACTCCTGGGGCTGTCGGGATTCACTGAGATAGCCCATGTAAGCTGCTTAGAAAAAAGAGGGCGCAATATAAACACTCAATGCCAGCTCTCTCTGTTTTTCATTCATAAATATAAATGGACCATCAGGAGGCTTTTCTCCCACCAGAAGCCACAGTTCCTTCCGATCCAGCCTTTGTAGGGGAAAGTATATTTGACAATGAGACCAAGAGCAACCTGAATGAGCCATTTGTAGCATTTTACATATTAGCTCATATAATCTCACAACAAGCTGCGAGAGAAGTACTATTGTCACATCTAGTTTAGGGAAAAGGACTCTTTGGGACAGAGAGGTTCTTGTAAGTACAGAGCCAGGACTCAGAGCCAGCTGATATCAAAGGCTTGTTCTCCCAACCACCATGCCCCCCAAAAAAGAAGCCTTGGGGAATAAGAAGGAAAATTTATTGTCTGTGGAATAATTTGGCTCTCTTTGGCAATTATTTACCAAAAACTTTGTCTCAAGAAAGATTAGCTAGTAAACTCTACCTTAGAGTAGTAATTGAATTTAAAAATAAGTGGGAAAGCATTTCAAATGATCCAATCAGGACACGTGTGAATATGTCTGGGAGGTGTGTATAACCATTAATCACCCTTGTTAGGTATCTATGTGTTGTTTTTTTTTCCTGAGAATCAATAAGGCTTTTCCCTGAAAGGTGTGTATATACACACACCTATATTTTTAAAAAATCAAGTTCATGCCATACTGAAATCAAATATCATAATCGACCAAGTGAACTAATTTATGATTGCACACATATTTATAAAATTTGCATTTTAAACTGCTCAGTAGCAGAATGCTTTTTTCAATTCATGGACTTTACTTGCTGATAGATTTGATTCAGTCTTTGCAAACCAAATCCTCTCTATCTCTCCTAGTTGGGTAATTTGAGAAATTGTTTAGAGTAAGTTTGCCTACAGAAGTCTCTTCGTTAAATAGAGCAAATATTTCCCAAAGACTTCATGTGACCTCCATTGCTATATAGTTAACATGTTAGGCTTTCCAATGAAATCCTTGGTGTGTTTGCAATTAAAGTGTTTTCATTGGACATTAATGATGACAATCTTTATTAAGGCCAAAGCCAAAACAAATAGGGCCATGGAAGCAGAAAATCAAGATGTAATAACTTGGTAAAGATCAGTAATTTGGGATTTAAACTGACCCTCCTCTCAGAGACAGGCATAAAGTTATCAAGTATGAAATAAGGAGTGATTTTCTGTTTTATATTACAATAGAAATAATTTGCAAAACATGAAATGTCAGCTTTCTCTATCTTTAATTATCACACCTGAATCATTGAATTCCAAGCCTGAAGGTAGTAGAAATTCACTTATGTCTAATATAATCTTTTTTTCTTTTCTTTCTTTTTTTTTTTTTTTTTTTTTTTTTTTTTTTTTTTACTTTTTTACATGTTTGGGGCAGGGTGGGAGTTGGTGCTGAAATTCATTGTTCCGAACTACTCTTGTGACTGCCAGAGAAGTCTTGGGTTGCTAAAGTAACTTTTAACCTAAAGGTATTTTTTACTTAAAGGTACAATGCATTTATTTGTACTTTCTCTAAGTAATATTTTATCCCATTTATTTATCTCAAAATCATCCTCCCAGAAAATCATAGCTAAAAATATTTTTAAATATTTTAATTTAAACTTTGAACATATCATTTCCTAATTTAATGCATTAATAAATTAGCAATAACATGGTTTTTCCTCAAAGAGCCAACCCATCAAGACATTTCCCCAACAGACCCCATAGTGACTCCCTTAAACTCAAAAGAAATGTTAGAAAAGATGACCGTTGGTCCTAGAGGTTTTATTCTGAAAAAAGCAATTTTGTAAGCCTTGTTCAGAGTCAGCTTATGAGATGAAATGGCTATGCCTTGTTGGTGGAACCAAGATAATGTTGCCAGAACTGGCTACTTTCTCTACTCTCAAGGCTGCTGAAAGTCCTTCCTTAGGCCTTTGATCTCTCCTGGGAGCCTTCGAATTCAAGCAGAGGCCAATGTCTTCCTCAGCTGTCTTCTCCACAAATTTTTCCGTAATATTTTTCCCATTTATTTATCTCAAAATCATCCTCCCAGAAAATCATAGCTAAAAATATTTTTAAATATTTTAATTTAAACTTTGAACATATCATTTCCTAATTTCCTAATTTAATAAATTAGCAATAACATGGTTTTTCCTCCAAGAGCCAACCCATCAAGGCAGTTCTCCAACAGACCCCATAGTGACTCCCTTAAACTCAAAAGAAATGTTAGAAAAGATGACCGTTGGTCCTAGAGGTTTTATTCTGAAAAAAGCAATTTTGTTAGCCTTGTTCAGAGTCAGCTTATGAGATGGAATGGCTATGCCTTGCTTGTTGTTGGAACCAAGATAATGTTGCCAGAACTGGCTACTTTCTCTACTCTCAAGGCTGCTGAAAGTCCTTCCTTAGGCCTTTGATCTCTCCTGGGAGCCTTCGAATTCAAGCAGAGGCCAATGTCTTCCTCAGCTGTCTTCTCCACAAATTTTTCCAGCAGCTTTGGCAGGTACTAATGTGTTTACTTAGGTGTTTCTGGTTCCCAGAGCTAATGGCAGTTTGAAATTGTTTAGCACATTGTGCACTCATATATAATAAGCAAAAACTTCTGAAACAACTCCTTTTGTCCAAGAGTTGACAGTGTCTCAGGTAGAGGCAGAAATGAATTGAAATGGATGTATCTCTCTTGGTATATATTCTCCAACTAAGAGAAGTATGTAGAATTCCTAAGGTAGGCAAATTTTACTAGTAAAGGAAGCTCTGAGCATCATTTTGCTGGTGTTGTCTGTCCATCAACACTAAGATTGTTGCCATAATGCTTCAACTAAAATAGGTTACCTTAAAACACACACACACACACACACAACAAAAAACAAGTTGATGATTACTTAAAGGTCTATGCAATTAAAACCTTCTTATAAGTCTACCTTATAAGAAAATCAAACGTGTTTATTTTTATTAAGAACGTAAAATGTAAAATTTAAGTTATCTATCTACTTCACCAGAACCCTGGTGGGCTTTCATTTACAACAACAGGCCATAGCTTGGTGTTCTTCCCCTCATCTGCCTGTTCTGGGGCTTCCCTAGCAACGCTGGCATATCATTTCTAACATCCTGATTACTTAAATAAACACATGTGAGTTTTCTCTACTGTAAGAGGTCCCATTTCTCTGGAGAAATAGTAGAAAAGAGTTTGTATTTTTATTATTTTCTATGAGGAACAAAAGCCAGAATCTAATCTGATTTTGAATAAAAGAGAATACCTGAATAACCAGCAGATATTTTTAAGTGGTTTTTAACTTTTTCATATTTCTCTGTTCAACTTCTCCACTGAGAAAACAGTTTTTTTCTCTGTATCGCTCATCCAGTTTCCCATTTTTCTCTCACATGTTTTCCCTAGGAAAAGAGCAGCAGGACCGCTCCTGAATTTGGGAGCCCTAGGCATCTTTGAGGTGCTGGCTTCCTGTGTATACTGCCTCCTATTTTTTTAATCTTTCTCCTCTGGCCCCTGACAGCAGTTTAAAAGTTTATCTCTCTCTCTCTCTTTTTTTTACTTTGGTGCTCTGAGACCCTATTTTCAGCACTTGGATCCCAAGGGTCCTCAACCCAGGACCCTGTCTCCCTGCCTAGCTAGTCCCATTAAGCCGCCAGACTCTTGTGTTTTCTTGGATTCTTTAGTTCCACTCGCCAGCCGCACTCTGGTCAATTTGTTTTGAGATCACCTTACCAAAGACAGCACTGACTTCTGAGAACTACCACTACTGACAGCCTTGGAGCGACAGCTTCTTCCCAGGACCGGGAGTGCAGGGCAAGACATCCCGCTTGGCGAGTTTCTGCTCTGCAGCGCAAAGCAGGCGCACGGTGCCTGAGA